CTGGAGGGGCCGCTCGTTTCCCAAGGCGGCCCTGCTGCTGCAGCTGCTGCTGCTGCTGATCGTTCTCCTCGCCCTCCTGGCCCTCGTCTCGGCTCACTGCTCCGCCCTGCATGCATTATGAATCCTTCTCTCTCTTTCGCTCTCTCTCTCTCTCTCTCTCTCTCTCTCTCCCTTCCTCTCTCTTCCTCTGCTTTGTCTATATCTCTATATATATGTATATAGATACCGTCTCTTGTTGTTTCTATATTTCGCTCGCTCTCTCTCTCTCTCTCTCTCTCTCTCTCTCTCTCTCCCTCTCGCTATCTTGTTTTCTCTCTCTCTCTCTCTCATTGTCTCTCTCTCTCTCTCCCTCTCTCTATGTATGTGTGTATGTCTATCTCTATATATATCTCTCTATCTCTCTCTCTCTCTCTGTGACTGTGTGTGCGACTTGTTGTTATCTATAAGGCCTTATCTAAACAGATCAACGATCTACATCAAACATATATGCGTGTATATATATATATATATGTGTATGCAAAATATCACGTATAAGCATACATATATATATATATATGTATATACATGCATACGCCTATATATACACAAAAAAATATACATATATACATACATACACATGTACACACATACATGCATACGCATATATACAAACGTATATGCATACATACATACATGCATACATACATACATACATACATACATACATGCATGCATACATACATACATACATACATACATACATACATACATACATGCATACATCTATACATACATACATACATACATACATACATACATACATACATACATACATACATACATACATGCATGCATGCATGCATACATACATACATACATACATACATACATACATACATGTATGCACACATACATACATACATGTAGTTATGCATATATTCATACATACATAACATACATACATACATCCGTGCGTGCGTCCGTGCGTGCGTGCGTGCGTGCATGCGTTCATGCATGCATGCATGCATGCATGCATTCATGCATGCATGCATATATGGTCCAGGGCTTGGGCCCCCCCCCCTCCCCCCCCCAATGCTGATGCCATTGGGCCCCCCCCCCCGCGCGATGGTCCCCCCCGCCCCCCCCTGTGGGCGTGGCGTGGTGCTGCGCTGCGGTGCCCCCCTCCCCCCCCCTGTGGATGTGGTGTGGTGCTGTGGTGGTTCAGAGGTGGGCGTGGCGTGGTGCTGCGCTGCGCTGCCCCCCTCCCCCCCCCATGTGGATGTGGTGTGGTGCTGTGGTGGTTCAGAGGTCGTCGTCGTCGTCGTCGTCCTCGTCGTCCTCGTCGTCCTCGTCCTCGTCCCTCGTCGTCCTCGTCGTCGTCGTCGTCGTCGTCGTCCTCATCGTCGTCGTCGCCGTCGTCATCGTCGTCATCGTCGCCGCCGCTCGTCGCCGCCGCAGCCGTCGTCGTCGTCGTGGTCGTCGTCGTCGTCGTCGTCGCGTCGTCGTCGTCGCCGTCGTCGTCGCCGCCGTCGCCGTCGTCGCCGTCGTCGTCGTCGTCGTCGTCGTCGTCGTCGTCGTCGTCGTCGTCGTCGTCGTCGTCGTCGTCGTCGTCGTCGTCTCTGGGACCATACCATCTGGGGGGGGGGGGCCCGAGGAATCCTGGGACCATACCATCTGAAGGGGGGAGGGGGGGGGGCCCGTGGGCCCGGAGCCCGGGATCATATATACAGACATGAAGACATACAGAAATGCATACATACATACATGCGTGCGTGCATGCATGCATACATACATGCATACATACACACATACATACGCACGTGCGTACGTACACACGTGCCTACATGTGTCACATGCATACATACATACATACGTACATACATGCATGCATACATAAATATATATATATATATATGCGTAAATACATACGTGCGTGCGTGCGTGCGTGCGTGCGTGCGTGCGTGCGTACATGCATGCATGCATGCATGCATACATACATTCATGCATACGCACATACATACGCGCGTGCGTATGTACACACGTGCATGCATGCATACACCTGCATACATACATACATACATGCATACATACATGCATGCATGCATGCATGCATGCATACATACATACATACATGCATACATGCACACATACATACATACATAAGTACATACATACATGCGTGCGTGCGTGCGTGCGAGCGAGCGTGCGTGCGTGCGTGCGTGCATGCATGCATCGATACAGACATAGAGACACACAGGCATGCATACATACATACATACACCCATGCACCCATACATACGTACGTACGTACATATATGCATACATGCATGCATGCATACAGACATACGATACGATACGATACAATACCATACAATTCAAGATAAAACAATGCAACAGAATACAACACAATGCAATACCATACCATACAATACAATACAATACAATACCATACATACACTACAATACAATACATTACATGCATGAATGCAACTACATACACTTACATACATGAATGCATGCATGCATGCATACAAACATACATACCCTGTATTACATCACATAACAGTACATCACTTTGTGTTAAAACACACAACACGACACAACACTACATTACATTACGCTATATATTACATTACATTCCATTACATTACATTACATTACATTACATTACATTACATTACATTACATTACATTACATTACATTACATTACATTACATTACATTACATTACATACATACTTGCAAATGTACATACATGCTGGCCCCCTTGTCGGGGACATCAGGCGCCGCGGATTAGGCTTGCTGCGCCCTGTTCCAGCTCCAGTTTGCAGTCTCCGATGCTACAACTCGGTGTCCTGCTTCCGACTGTGAATTGTTGAAGTCCGCGCGAAAGGGGGGGAGCCGAAAAGAGCCCTGGTAACCTTCACCTGGGGGGGTCGAGGCCATAATCCTTCGTCAATTACGCAATACTCGCGTCCCCGAGGCCATAAACATTGGCAAATCACTCTGTGTTCGCGCTCCCGAGACCATAACTCCGAGTGAAACATGCAATATTCGTGTCTCAGAGGCAATTCCCTTTCGTAAATTGCACAATGGTTGCGTCCCCGAAGCCACGATCCCTCGCAAATTATGCGTGCTTCGCGTCCCCGAAATTATAAACACTTATAACGTACGCAATAACCGCGTTTTCGAAGCGACAATCCTAAATAAAGGCCCCCAAGACGGTACAAGAAGCCCCCGAGACGGCCCAAGCGTGCTCCAAGGCGCCCAAGATGGTCCCAAGACGGCCCAAGAGGCCCCCAAGACGCCCCCAAGAGCGCTCCAAGAAAAGCACTCCCAAGAGGGGCCCAAGAGGCCGACGTCTGCGATTTACCTTTTCGGGCTTCCGACGCTCCAAGACGGCCCCCAAGAGGCCCCCCAACACCGTCCCAAGACGGCCCAAGAGGCTCTCAAGAGCGCCCCAAAACGGTTCAAGAGAGCCCCAAGACGGCCTCAAGAGTGACCCGACACGGGGGACCCGAACCCAAGCGGCCCCCGTTCGGAGCTCCGACGCTGCTTCACGACGGCGCCCTGGCCTCACAACATAGCTCTGAGAGAGCGCGCCCGTGGCGCACTCCCAAAGGTGGGTGGTCCCCCCTACGCTATCCCTCCCCCTTGGACCTCCACTGCGGGAAGCCCCCACCCCCTCCTTTTTGGTCCGCCCCTCGGAAGCTAACACCCCCTCCCTTTCGCGCTCCGGAAGCTGCCCCCCCCTCCCTGCCCAAGGGGGGCGTTAGCTAACCCCCCCTTGGACCTCCCCTTTCCGGAAGACCCCCCTGTTTTTTTCACACCTCACGGAAGCTACCCCCGTCCTCCCCCCCCCCCTCTCCCTCCCTTTTCACGCTCCGGAAGCTACCCCCTCCCCCTCGCTTTCCAAAGGAGGGGGGGGGCTTAGCTACCCCCCCCCCAAACCCCCTGCCAGAATCCCCCCCCCTTCCCCCCCTTTTGGGCTCAACGGGGGGGGGCTTGGAAGTTTTTTTGGGGGGGGCTAAAGGAAGAAGCGCCGAAGACCAAAAAAGCGCCAAGAACCAGCAGAGCGCCGAAAACCAAAGAGCCACCGAAAAACGAAAGGGCGCGAAAACAAGAGGGCGCCGAAAACCGAAAGGGCACCGAAACCCAAGAAGGCGGCGAAAACCCGAGATGCGCCCAAAATAAAATCAGCACCGAAACACACAGGAGCGCCGAAACCCGAAGGGGCGCCGAAACTCAAAAGCGCGCCGACAACCAAAGGGAACCGGAAACCAAAGGAGCGCCGAAAACCAAAAGCACTGAAAAACCAGAAGGCGCCGAACACCTAGCGAACGCCGAAACCCAAAGAGGCGCCGAACAAAAAAATCCAGAAACCAGCGGGGCACCGAAAACCAAAAAGTCGCCGAAAACCAAAAGAGCGCCGAAGACCACAGCAGCCCCGAAAACCCAAGGGCCGCCGAAAACCAAAGAGCACCGAAAACCAAATCGGTGCCAAAACCGAAGGGCCGCCGAACTTGAAAAGGACGCCGACAAGCAAAGGGGCGCCGAAAACCAGTAGGGAGCCAACAACCAAAGGGCAGCCAAACACCCAAAGGGCACCAAGAACCAAAACCAAAACGGAGCGCGGAAAACCAAAGGAGCGCCGAAAACCGAAAGGGCACCGAAAACCAAAACGGCGCAGAAAAACCAAAAGAACGCCAAAAACCAGAGGGGCGCCGAAAACCACGAGGGCGCCGAGAACCAAAGCAGCGCCGAAAACCGACAGGGCGCCGAAAACCAAAGGAGCGCCGAAAACCAAAGGAGCGCAGAAAACCAAAAGGAAGACGATAACCAACAAAGCGCCGAACACAAAACAGTGCGCCGCCAACCAAAGATGCGCGGGAAACCGAAAATCAAAAGGATACCGAAAACCAAAGGGGCACCGAAAACCAAGAGGGCGCCGAAAACCAAAGGAGAGCCGAGCACTGAAGGGGCCCCGAACAACTAAAGAAACGCCGAATAATCAAGGGGCG